GTCAAACCCGCAAAACCTTTGCAAGAAATAGTTTTGCCACTGACATTGCTGCTTCTGTTCCAGTTAAGAAGTTTAGCAATTCTTCAGCACAAAGATTTTGTCCTGTGTCTAAGTCTAATGGAAACTGTTTGTTTTGTACAAATCAGCATCCGTTGGAAAGGTGTTTGGCGTTGAAGAAAAGGACTCAACGAGACAAGATTGAATTCCTGAAAGCTAAAGGAATTTGTTTCGGTTTTAAAGACTGGACATTTCAGTAAGGAATGTGAGAATCGTCTGAATTGTGACATTTGTGGAGAAACACACCCCACAATCCTGCACATATATCACAAGGAGGTAACCGTAAAAGAGCCAGAGGAAAAGCGCAAGGTAGTGTCTGCTCAAACTTGTGGTCACACAGGGGCTGGGAACGAGAGGAGTCTGATGTCAATCATACCAGTCCAAGTCAAAGCTGTTAAAGGTAACAAGGTGATGCGGACATATGCTTTTCTGGACCCGGGTAGTTCTGCAACCTTTTGTTCAGAACATTTGAGGAATGAGCTGAATCTGAGTGGAAAGAAGGTCAATATTCTTCTTTGCACCATGGGTCAGGAACAGTCCGTGTCCTGCAGTGTTATTGATGGACTGGAAATCAGTGGTATAAACACCAGTGTTATTGATGGACTGGAAATCAGTGGTTTAAACACCAAACATTTCTTCCCACTTCCTGCTGTCTACACACAGCAAAAGATGCCTGTTAACTCTGAGAACATCATTACGCAGGAGGAGTTATCCAAGTGGTCATACTTAGACAAGGTAAAGATACCATACATTCAAGCAGATGTTGATTTCCTGATTGGAATTAATGCCTCCAATGTGATTGAACCATACGAAATAATTAACAGTCATGGTAATGGACCATTTGCCATCAAAACCCTACTGGCATGGGTTGTCAATGGGACCATGGAAGGAAACAGTGCCTACAGGAATGAAAATGGACATTCTGCTGTTACTGTTAGCAGAATTTCTGTTGTGAAATTGGAGGAGTTGCTTAACAATCAGTTCAATCAACTTAATCCAATAGCCATTTATTAAACATACAGCAAGGAACACATAGATGGGTGAGTAAACGCTGAAAAAGAAACATTACAATATCATTGTTCAGGTTTGTTATACCGAATACACGATTATCAGACAGATCATTTGGTTTTAAAATAAATGTAACTTGACTGAAACAGCTCGTCTAACATTGAAATAAAATGTTGAATCACTTTTTAATCTTTTGTGGTTGATGAAAAGAATTCAGGAACGGCCTACTTGGCCGTGACAGGGCAGACTGAGAGTTCAGAAGTGTGCACCACCGCCCAGAGAGGAGCTGAAGTGGACTCCACCGCCTCGGGAGGTTCTGCAGTGGAAGCTGCCACCTCAGGAGGAGTTGAATCGGATACCACCGCCCCGGGACGTTCTGCAGCGGATGCCGCCACCTTGGGAGGAACTGGAGTGGGCTCAGGAGCGGATTCAAGGACTCGATCAGGCTCTGGAGTGGACTCGTAGTGAGCTCTGGAATTAACTCATAGACTTGAGTAGACTCTGGAGTGAACTCTGATGGCTCCCAGACTGAAGCGAACTCAGGAGTGGACTCTGAAGGCTCCCGGGCTTGTGCGGGCTCTGGAGTGGGCTCTGAGGGCTCCCAAACTGGAGTGGGCTCTGGAGTGGGTTCTGATGGCTCCCGGACTGGAGCGGACATTGGAGTGGACTTTGAAGGCTCACAGACTGGAACGGGCTCTGGAGTGGGTTCTGAGGGCTCCCGGACTGGAGCGGGCTCTGGAGTGGGTTCTGAGGGCTCCCAGACTGGAGCGGACACTGAAGTGGACTTTGAAGGCTCCTGGACTGGAGCGGGCTCTGGAGTGTGCTCTGGAGTGGGCTCTGAGGGCTCCCGGACTGGAGCGGGCTCTGGAGTGGGTTCTGAGGGCTCCAGGACTGGAGCGGGCTCTGGATTGGGCTCTGAGGGCTCCCGGACTGGAGCAGGCTCTGGAACAACAGGAGTGGACCTTGCTGCCCTCCTTCTCGATCTTCGTTTGCGAAATGAAGACAAAGATGTCTCACTATTCTCTGGGAAATAGAAATCCGACTTGAGACTCTCCGGGGGCACTGCAACAGGCACAGACTGACCGGATGGAACCACTAAACTGCGGTAACAGAGATAATCAATAAAACCCTAAAAGTCAAGAGTCCTCAGTTCCTCCATCTCCCACAGAGGCAAGGGGTAATCCAAGCATTCATTAAAAATCTTGTTGAGCTCGAAATTACAAAGTTCCAGTCCTACTGCCAAAGTCCAAAAAGTCTGTGCAAGACCTCCTACTCCCATTCCCTGTTGATGAAGAGCCGCCAACATCTGGAGCTGAGCCTTCCGCTCCTTCTTAGAAGCCGGAGGAAGAACCCGAATGCCCATGATTCAGAGGTCAGTGAAGAATAGCTGCTGGATCTGAGATGGTGGATGTAGTATTCTGGCACGGAATGCTCTTGAGGCAATATTAAAGATCCAAATGCAGCATTTATTGTAAACAACAAAAGGTCCAGAAAACAAAGCAAACGGCGAAAACACAAGGTAATCTAGAAGGTAGTGATGTGACATTTGAACCTAGGCATCGGAGCTTGTGTCGAGAATAAATGGGCGTGCCAGATGAAGCCTCGATTCGAAGCTTGTGTTGTTAACATAGAAATCACGAGACCAATGTCAAACGAAGCTTCACTTTCTGTCCAGTCACATGCGCGATTCACTTTGCGTGTCGAAATGTTCGATTCCCCCAGATCTTATTTTAAGAATAAGTTTTAATTCTGACTTATTCAGTTACATTTTAGATACCCAGTCATACAAGTAATATGAAGAATACAGTCGTGGCCAAAAGTATTGAATGAACACCACAACAGCTTAAGTAGCAAATTTTCCAAAACACAAAATTTATGTCACTACCAATACTTTTGGCCACGACTGTACAAATTATTTCAGGAAAATTTAATATTTGTCATATGCAATTCATGTGTACGTTATTCTAACCACCTATTTTTTCTATTTTCAACTAACCACCAAATGGCGCTGTTTTCGACACTCAAAGCTTTGAATCTTTTCTTAAAACAGTCAGAGGAAAGCCTCAGTGCTTCCCGAGGCTTCATTTGGTCATCACTACTAAAAGGCAGTAATCCACAAAAGTAAACAGAGACGGGGTGACAAAAATACAGTGCAATACTGCAGCAAACTAAGAAAAACAGAACATGGTATTTATAGGGGAACTAACAAGACTAACAACACACAGCTGGAAACAATGAACCAATAATCAGAGCAAGGAATGATGGGAACTGAGGTCCAGAAGCAATGGGCAATGATCTGGGAGGAGTTTATGTAATATATATTCATTACTAATCTTCTAGTCATACAGAAATATCTCATATTTAAATTTTGGAAGTATAATATATTCCATCCCCATTTACTTGCTGATGAATGGACAAGAGCAGTTTAAAGCTTCATTTAAATCCTCAACTCTTACTTCTGAAACACACTGTATTACCGCGCCAGTGAATATCTCCAAAACTTTCACTGAAATTAGATTTACAGGATGTAGGTACATAATTAAAATGAAATTAAACAAAACACAAGTATTCAGTCAAATGATACAATTTCACATGTAAAAGGTCAAGAAATTAAGTACTCGCATGTGGTGCTGTTACTGTAATTCAATGTAGCCTTTGAGATTTTCACATTATTTCAGAAATATACCAGGTTGTTCGGGGCAAACAAAAGATTAAAGCTGATTGTTAACATACACAACATAAAAATATATAATATGTATTGGCCAGTGATAAGCTTTAAAAAAGCATTTCTTCATTTTCATACACATTCACTTTAAATACATTCAAGTTCCTCGAGAACTCAACAGAATTTTTGAGGCACCTTTAGTTTTTATAGTGTAGATACATTATATGAAACACAGCTCTATTCTATTATATATATACTATGACAATGAAAAGCATGGTGGTTTTATCCCTACTTATTACAGTGTGTAAGTATTTATGTATGTTTTATTGTTGTTGTAGTAACTAACATTTTGCTTGTTAATGTGTGTAATGTTTTAGCCAGAGGTGTAAAGAGTACCTGAAAACCATACTTGAGTAAATTACACATATCTTACAGTGAAAATTACTCCATTACAAGTTAAGTCATCAATTCCAAAACAACTTGAGTAAATGTCTTTGAGTATCTGATATTAAAAGTACTTAAGTATTTTACTTATACTAAATATAGGTTCAAAGATGCACTAATCAAGGAGACATGCTAGTAAAAACAAGGAAGAGTTGATATGTGAGGAGAGCAATCACGTTTATTTTCTAAAACCAAAATAAATCTCTTCACCTCAGAAAAAAGAAAAAAAAAACAATATCCTTCAAAAAGTTATCTTCAGTGTTATGGATAAACAAAAGTCAAAGCTTTCTTGCACAAAGTCTTCTTGCACTGGATGTGCTGGTTTCGGCCTCATTGTCGGCTGCAGTAATGTCCTCATCTCATATATATAACACCTGTGAATCACAACTACTTGCAAATGAACTTGCATTCACTTAATGTAGCCTTGTTGACAAGTTTGAGTGAGTAAGGGCAAAATGTACAAGATATTTTTCAGTGCCCTCTAGTTGGTGATACCACTTCTTTTGTAGCAGAAATAAACTCGTGCAGAAAAAGCTAGGTGCCATGCAAAATGTAATGTGTAATTGCAACACTCATTACAAATGTAGTCGAGTAAAGAGTACAGATACTTATTCAAAAATGTAGAGAGTAAAAGTTGCTCATATCTTTGATACTCAGTAAAACTACAGAGTATCTCAAATTATACTCAAGTACAGTAATTAATTATTTACGCAAATACTTTACACCTCTGGTTTTAGCATTGAATGCTTATGGCCAATGATGATTCTCTAATGATTATTCAGTGCAGTGAAACCTCAGCAATAAACTGACACTTTTAATATTGAAGATGAAACCACCTAGTCGGCCTGAACTCTTTGATTTTGAGGGTGTTTCTATGGTCCACTACTTCACTGACAACTGGGAAAAGGTGAAAAACTTTCAAGCAAGACCTGATGACATTCTAATCGCCACTTACCCCAAAGCAGGTGAGGGCACACCCCATTTAACAATTTTACCAGCATGTCATGTGACCACTTAACTCATATAATATTCTTTATTTATCTATTATTTTCCTCCTGAGGTCTATTTTTAATATTAGTAAAGATTTTTTGGGGCTTACTTTTTTTATGACAAGTTTTTATGACTTGAGATTCCCTCAATATACATATACAATATACAGTACACTATAGCCTCAATATACACTACATTTTACACCACTTCTGGTCCATCCATCCATTCTCAAAACCACTTTCCCAATTTAGGGTAGCTGGGAGTCTATAGCATCTCAGACCAGAGCTGCTCTGGTTTTTAGGAATAGTAATGTATATACTGTATATAGTTTGTTTCACCTAGTTGTCTTGCATTTTGTTCTTGTTTTCTTTTGTTCCCGCTATTTGTTTCAGTGGACACTGTTTACTTTGCTCATCTGTTTTTAGATTTGTTGAATATCGTCCTGTGTATATATATATATTGCCCTTAGTTTGAGAGAAGGTTCACTCACAAACAACAGCTGTGTTCAAACACTCATACACTTATTCACTATTCCCTACATTAGTCTAATATAGTCCAGTTAAAGGAGTGAATGAAAACGAGTGAGTGAATTCAGACACTTTTGTGCTTGCTGCTTTATAATTGTTTGAAAAATAGCAAACTGGCAGCTCCAGTATCAATTAATAGCAAATGTATTCCTGTTTGATATTATGCTGTACCCACATTGGGCCAGTGGTTTGGAAAATGGATGTATGGATGATTCAGCTGCAGGCACCATCTTCTGGTGAGATGCAGGAATTCATTCAGCATGACCCTCACAGTGCATTAGACAGTACATCAGTTGTACGCTCATTATTGCAATGCATTATGGGATTAAATAAGTGCTCTTGATATCATTCACTATGGTTTCGGACATCACTACAAATAGCTGTCCCCTCAAATAATGCCCTATTTAGGGGTATGGGGGCCAATTTTGGACACAGCCATTGTCAAAGTAATTGTCATAGTTTTACATTTATGTAACAAAATTGTGTATCATGTGTAAATGATTTCAAACCTGAAATTGTTCTAAAACCTTTGAGCAACACAGTTTCATTACCTAAGTTATGAGATACATACAGTAAGGCAGAAGCCATGCAGAAATCTTGTCTTTACAAAAATGTGGCTTGAAAAATCATAATTTTATATAGTTGTAAGCATCTTTTTTCAAGGGTTTTTTTGGGGGGGGGGTTGTGTTTTACTAATAGAGGGTTTTGCATCATGCAATAATTCCTACACTCCATTCTTCATTCATTCTAGGTACCACCTGGGTCTCATATATTCTAGACCTTCTGTACTTTGGTAAGGATGATCCAGAGTGCCAGACTTCCCAACCTATCTATATGAGAGTGCCATTCCTGGAGTCATGTTTTAAAGTGATACCATCAGGTCAGGTACCACAGTATAATAAGTGCTCACTGAATTTCTTACCATTTCATGTTCATTGTCCAGTTTGTGTGTTTGTTTTGTTGTTGTTGTTGTTGTTGTTGCAAGTGAGCCACATCAAGATGTTTTTTTTTTATGTATCTAATATGCAGGTACACTATACCAATGAGTCAAATTATTTGATCTTTGGGTAACACTTTACAATAAGGTGTCACTTACAATAAGCATTACAGCTATCACTGTAAAATAATTTTTTTATAAATATGAGTGAAATTACAAGAGCAACTGTGAACTTGTAATGCTATACATACATTTTACAGTAAATTAGAACATTTGTTGTGAAATTCAATTCACTAAATTAACTACAATTGAGATTTTTCACTGCTGTGATAGTGTGTAAACATTTGGTTAACTTATTTAATTTGAGTCCACTGAGAAGAAATATTTCTTAGTATAAAACTGCAAACACTTAATGTGTAACAGTAAAGTAACTAAAAACATGACTTTAACTCAAATCGTTGCAGTTCAACGTCAGCTACAGCATACATGTATGTGCTGAAGTACTTAACAAAGCGATCATCACTGCATCAACTCTACATTTACTGTCTTTAAATAAAACAGCAGAACATCTGTGTTTGTGGCTCATCATTGACTGAAGCACAGGCTCTACTCTCCAGCACAATGGTGACCCACAAAACTACATTAACATCTCTCTCTTGAGCAAAAACACATTAATACAGTTCAGTTAAATATTTACTCTCCTTATAGATAATTATGTGAATTATTAAGTGATGATTGTGCTGTAGAGATGAACAGCTGCTGTTAACAAGCAGAATCACTAAATGAAAGAGAAACACAAGAACTACAACTGACTTCAGCCACAGCCTTAGATTAAATCAACTGAAATAAAAGACATTGAATCTCTCAAGATCTGATTAAACAACTCCATAAACAGCATTACCAGCTTCACACATTACAATTTGACTTTATTTCGGTCATATATCTACAAAAATTATTTGAGAATTAACAGAGGTTTAGATGTTTTATTAAAAGCCTTTTGTTTGACCTCACTATTGTGGCGATCAGGGTTTGCTTTAGTTGGGCTCTTGACCCTTGACTTCTTAATGTTAGATTTTTATTTGTCTGTTATAACTGTTTTTGTAAAACACATTATAGCAAAAAAAAAACAAGAAAAATTGTAAAAATTTGTTTTTTGTGTGTTGTTGATGATGGTATAATCATTATCTGGTAGTCTGATTAACTGACTTCATTCAGTGGCTTATCTCGAGTGACATGGTGTGGGTTTTTTCGTTAGTTTTGTTTTATTCACGATAGCTATTTGACACTGCATGATGGGATACTACTGAAAGATTTTCAAAACATTTTATGCACAAAATCTTTTAATACTACGGCATTATTTACACACAGAGAGACATCAAGAATATGCACATGAATCTTAACAAGGGTGACAATCAAAAGCTTTATGCTGCAATGCATGCTGGGTACCAACCAGCACAGTACAAAACTCAACCTTGACTCCCAGCATGCATTGCGGCATGAATAAATTATGCCGCTGAATTGTCCACTTATTGTCTTTAATTCTTACTATGCTTTTATTTTTATTTTCGCTTTTGTTTTTGTGTTGAGTTTTAGTAGCGTGTTTTGTGATGTTCAGATTCAGTGATGTTTGATTTATTTTGTTGATTGTCACCGTTGTTGAGATTCATACGCTGATTCTTGATGTGTGTGTTTCATAGCAGATCACAGCTTTTTTTTTTTTAAACAATCTTTCATAACCGCCTGCTTGTTCTTTTGTTTTAATGTATTATCATAACGTTGTCTTGGCAAGAGAAGAGACACCGAATAAAATCAGTTAACCTGAGGTTTGATGATGATTATGTCACCACCAAAACATATTCAACAATACTACAAAATCTGCCTTGGCTTTTTTTTTTGCCACAACAAATGTGTTTAAACACACATGGTTACAGCAGCCAATTAAACATTAATGTTAAAAAGTCAAGGTTCAAGAGCCCAACTAAAGCAAACACTGATCTCCATCATGGTAGTGTCAAAAAAACTAACAAAAGAAAAACATCTAAACTTCTGTTAATTCTCAATAACATCTTCTGTAGAGGCCTGACAGAAATAGCGTCAGTGTGGTTAGTAATGTGTGAAGCTGGTAATGCTGTTTTAGGAGTTGTTTAATCAGATCTTGAGAGATTTAATGTCTTTTATTTCAGTTGATTTCATCTAAGGCTGTGGCTGAAGTCAGTTGTAGTTCTTGTTTCTCTTTCATTCAGTGATTTTGCTTGTTAACAGCAGCTGTTCATCTCTAAAGCACAATCATCACTTAATAATTCACATAATTATCTATAAGGAGAGTAAATATTTAACTGAACTGTATTAATGTGTTTTTGCTCAAGAGAGATCTATTAGTTTAATGTAGTTTTGTGGGTCACCATTGTGCTGGAGAGTTGAGCCTGTGCTTCAGTCAATGATGAGCCGCAAACAATGATGTTCTGCTGTTTTATTTAAAGACAGTAAATGTGGAGTTGATGCAGTGATGATCGCTTTGTTAAGTACTTCAGCACCTACATGTGTGCTGTAGCTGATGATGAACTGCAGCGATTTGATTTAGTCATGTTTTTAGTAACTTTGCTATTACACATTAAATGTTTGCAGTTTTATACTAAGAAATATTCCTTCTCAGTGTACTCAAATGAAATAAGTTAACCAAAATGTTTACACACTATCACAGCAATGAAAAATCTCAATTGTAGTTAATTTAGTGAATTGAATTTCACAACAAATGTTCTAATTTACTGTAAAATGTATGTATAGCATTACAAGTTCACAGTTGCTCTTGTAATTTCACTCATATTTATAAACGTTTCTACTGTAATTTTACAGTGATTTTACAGTACAATTGTAATGATTGATTTACAGTACTTTTGTAAATTTACAGGCTTACTGGCCAGTAAGTTACTGAAAATTTTACAGTAAACTTTTTACAGTGTGTGTTCCATAAAAAAAAAAAAAGACTATAACTTTGCTTACATTTTTGCGACAGATGACTTGGACATACCACAATAAAGAGAATTGCAGTAGTCGATGATAAGTAATAAAAGCATGGATAGTGATCTTCTCCTGATGATGTAACTGAAAAAGCAAGAGCCTATCACTGCATTTATTTGTTAGGAAGTCATGGTCAATACAACTTTCCCTATAGTTTTCATTTGGGCCAAAGACTATGTCCCCGTTCTTTGATTCATTCAAAAATAAAAAGTTTTGAGATAAATATGTTTTCTCTTCATCTAGACAATCCAAAAAACAATCGAAAAAACTTCATACAATAACAGTGACGGTTTGGATATCACATTTACAGGAGGGTTTAGAAAAGAGTTACTAACAGAGAAAAGAACTGCAAAAAGGCCACTATTGGGGATATATTCATGTGTCTAATGGCGCTTTTCCACTGCGTGGTACGACTCGGCTCGGTACGGCTCAGTACGGCACGGTTCGGCTCGGCACGGTTTGCGTTTCCACTGCAGTTCAGTGCCGCTTTAGAGTGGGCGGTCGCAAGTTCAGTGACGCAGGTAGTGACGATTCTCTCCGGCCAATCGGTGAGCAGCAGAGTTTACACGTCACGTTTTGGTAACGGTACAGTTCACTTGGAACCCCAACCGAAGTGGTACTAAAAAAAGTACCAGGTACTGTACCCACTGGAAAACCCCCCAAAAGTGAATCGTACCGCGCCATACCATGCAGTGGAAAAGCGCCATTAGTTTCCTTTGCTATAAGCCAAAGTCGACACATCCGTCTCAGCAGCCCTTCAGTGAGCCAATACTGTTAAGTCTTTGAGGGAGAAATATCACTACCTCTGAGGGTTTCCTTTGAGCCATTTAGATGTGGTTCGCCCTGTCCTGTTCATTGGATCAGACTACCCCCACCTCATTACTGCAGTGAAACCAATTCGCCTAGGCCCCCCAGGGGGACCAGCAGCCATCAAGACTCATCTCAGCTGGACTTTGCAGGGCCCTTTTCAACACCTGCAACATGAGGTCTCAAACAAGTGGAGAAACTCTGGCAGATTGACATGCTTCCCTGGCAAAGTGAAAAGATGAGCACAAGATCCAGACAAGACCAGTAAGCAGTGAAAATTCTGGAGAGCAAGGGTGACAGTAGAGGTGGATGGTGTTAAGCACTATCCAACCGCACTTTTGTGCGTTAAGAATATGCCTGACCTCAAGGCCCCCAAAAATGCTCTTCTCCCTCAGCTGCGAGCCATCAAGAGAAGGCTGGCCAAAGATCCAGAACAAACAACAAAGGATACACCCAGCATTTATGAATGGCAGGTTCTCCCTTCGGCACCACATGCAGCCCTTGCTGTGCAATCTTTGCATTACAAAAACATGTCCTGGATCATAGCCAACCTGGGGAAGACATCCACCATTCTGTCCTGAAGTCTTTCTATGTAGACAACTGTCTGCAGAGTCTTGTTGACAAACTCAGGAGCTTATTGGCAGAAGGCAGTTGTCCAGCAGCCAGCTCTCAACAATAAACCACTTACCTCCTGAGGCCAGATCAGACGGCACTGAACTTTGGATTTCACAAGGGCAGAACAACACCCAAGAATCTACATTGGGGCTCCTCTGGAATCACCAAACGGACACGCTTTCCAATAAGTATCATCCCATAGCAAACACTGAGACTAACATGCGCAGCATTTACAAAACTGTGGCAAGTCAGTATGACCCGCTAAGATATCTAATTTCCTTCACTACCAGAGCCAAGCTTATAGTGCAGCACCTTTGGGATAAGAAAAGAGACTGGATGACTCACACTTACCTGCAGATCTTCTACAGACCTGGGCAGAGTGGGTTGAGGAGCTGCCTGGCCTACAACACATCGTCCTTCCAAGACGTTACACCAGCCTAATCAGAGACACAGATATGAGCCAGAGAGAAGTACACATTTTCTGTGATGCCTCTGAGCGTGCTTATGGCTCAGTCGCTTACCTACGCACAGAGGATCAACAAGGGGAGGTAGAGGTGACCTTCCTCACAGCCAGATCACGGGTGGCACCAAAGAAACAGTAATTAATACTTCGTCTGAAACTCTGTCCTGCGCTGACTGAGGCACAGCTCGCTAAAGTAGTGAGAACGGAATTGAATCTTTCCATCCACCAGATGTATACAGAGTTATGACGCTAAACTCCACCATCCAGGCCTTAAGAGAGTCTTTGCAGAGCTTCGGCATAAATATTGGATTCTTCAAGGCAGAGAGGCCATCAAATGGTGTCAAAAATCAAAAGAGTGATTCTGTGGACTGTCAGAAGTGGAGAAAAAACACTGAAGTGCCCAAAATGGCAGACCTCTCGCCAGCTAGATTACGCTTATTCAAGCCTGCCTTCTACTCCAAGGGAATGGATTGCTTTGGTCCATATACTGTTAAGTAGGTTGCAGAAACAAGAAGAAATGGGGCATCCTGTTCAAATGTCTAACTACCCGGGCAGTTTACATTGACGTCCTTTATAGCCTCAACTCTGATTCATTCCTCATGTCTCTCAGATGATACATCACTAGACAAGGCAAGCCATTCGAGCTATTATCAGATCAAGGGACCAACTTCAAAGGAGGAGAGAAAGAATTGAAAGAAGCATACACAGCTATCATCCCAGAGCTGCAAAAGCAGCTGGCAAGCCATCACATACAATTTCACTTCAATCCCCCTAATTCTCCACACTTTGGTGGCAGCCAAAGAGAGATTAGTTCCCTAAAACATGATGACAACACTTGGTGCCCAGTCTGTCACCTTCGAAGTACTTTACACTGTCTTAAATTCCAAGGCTACACTTCATCTAACATATCTGATCTAGACCCCTTCACACCAAACTCCCTACTGATGGGGCGGCCATATTCAGACAGATCGGGAAAGCGTACGGATGGAAACTGTACTGTAGTGATTTATCTTTGCTAAAGTTGTGTGGTGCCTGTAAAAAAAAACACACCCACATGCAAAGCAGAATTCCTTCAGTGTACTGAGTTGTGGTGACAATAAATGGGTCATTCCCGCATAAGTCTCTAACTGGACGCTTCATAGTGGGTCTGTTATTAACTGGCAAATTCATATAAAAGGAGAAGAGCCACCAGTAGCCATTCATTTTTACAAGAACTTTAGGACTATGATGATTTTTTGCAATCACCTTTGAGAAATGTTTAGACTTTGCAGATTTCACAGCTTTCTGAAAAGCAGCAAGAGAGTCTTTATGCATTTTGAAGGATATTTGCAGTTTATCCTTTGGTGGCATGGGTGGTGGCATTAAGCCATGGCTCAGTTTTGGGTTTCAGCCTTTAAAACTTAAATGGGGCAGTGACATTTACAACCTTCGAAATGGCAGTATTTAACAGACTAAGATGTTGTTCAGCATCCAAGTCAGGCAAAGATGATTCCAGAAACGGAGATAGGCTGACCTCATTAAAGATGGCGGTGAAGTCATACTTCACTGTCGCTAGAGGTATAGAGTGACAGCACACACGAATATTAAAATCACCAATCAAAGGAATATGGTCATACTCAGTTATAAATTCACCCACAAAATTAGTAAACTAATTTATAAAATTACAATAAAATAATGATCATACATTATTAGCAGCATTAGTGTTGCTTTTACCCACAACAAATTAAGGTCCCACATCATTTTAAAGTCAAGACAAAGCAGGGGATTGCATATGCAAACAGCTGCAAGTTTTCTGTCTAGACAAATCTATCTAGAAAACTCTATACCTAAACACACAAAATTTTCTAATATTTCACTGTTCCATGTATGCATTCACATACCTCCTGTTTTTGAGGGACATGAAATCTTGTCTCGGCTGAACCACAATAAAACTAGGATACTTTTAATTTAGAACCACATTTTATTACTAACTTTCAGGAACAGAACTGGCTGATAATCTGACCACCTCTCCTCGCCTCATCAAAACTCATTTGCCTGTTCAGCTTGTGCCCAAGTCCTTCTGGGAGCAGAACTCAAAGGTGAAGTAAATTGGACTTTTTTTCACCTTGTGATGTGATGTAGGTGATAACATGTCATGAATCTTCCATTACAGAATGCTAATAATGTAAAACTAATTTCATGTAATCATCCTATTACGTGACTTACTTTAGTGATATAAAATACTATAGAATACCCAAGACATGCCACTTGTATAGTTTTGAGTGGGGGAAAATGCAATGCTCAATATGGCCACTCTATCAAAGGAAGCCCACTGATTGAGTAAAGCCGGGCTCAGACTACAGGATGTTTATGATTATGAAATCTGGTGGCAGCACACACATAAGGAGAAACTTTACAGATTTTCTTCTCTAAAATCTTAAATATGCACACACACACAAGATTTGAAAATCGTGGCACATCACACACTACAAGATATTATTAAGAATATCATGACAGAAGGAGCGCTTCACGTGATCTCACGTAGCAGATCGTCAATGACATTTCAGCAACTAATGTTTACGTGTTAGCTAGCGTGCTCTGAGGAGATTTCACCCTAACGCTTGTTTTGCGGTTGTGCATTGGCTATTGTGAAAGTACTGACATAATTATAGCCGTGATCATCCAGATTTAAAATCCTAAATATCAAACATGTTTGATATGATCAGGGCAGCCCTTATTTGTGTGTGAGCAGATCGGGAGGTGCAAGATTCAGAATCAGAAGGAGCTTTATTTTAGAAGGAGCTTTATTCAGTTATGTCCTTCAGGTAGGCTAGACCAGTCTCTCAAATGACTTCATGACCACAGACGTGAGAGCAACAGGTCTGTAGTCGATAAGTCCAGTGATTTTGTTTTTTTGGGGGACCAGAATGATAGTGGAGCGTTTGAAGCAGCAGGGAACTTCACACAGCTCCAGTGATCTGTTGAAGATCTGTGTGAAGATGGGGGCCAGTTGGTCAGCGCAGACTTTTAGACAGGCAGGTGAAACACCGTCTGGGCCTGGAGCTTTCTTAGATTTCTGTCTTCTGAAGACCCGGTTCACATCCTCTACACAGACCTTAAGCGCAGGTTGAATGGTGGGAGAGGCAGGAAGCGGGGTTGCAGTGGGGTAGGTGAATGTGTAAAGTACAGATCAGAGAGGGTGTGGGGTGTGAGACTAGGCTTTTCAAACTGGCAGTAAAACACATTCAGATCATCAGCCAGTTGTTGATTCTCCACAGACTGTGGGGGTGGTGTCTTGTACTTTGTGATGTTCCTCAGACCAGTCCATACTGACACCAGGTCATTGGCTGAAAACTGTTTTTTCAGCTTTTCAGAGTAGGTTTTTTTGGCCTCTCTGATCTCCTTTGTTAATCTGTTTCTGGCCTGGTTGTACAATAATTTATCCCTACTTCTGTAAGCATCCTTTTTGGCATGACGAAGCTGTTTGTGTTTCCCAGTAAACAACGCTTCATCATTATTGAATGATAAGAATGACCTGGTGGGGATGCACATATCCTCACAGAAACTGATATATGAAGTTACAGTATCTGTGAGCTCGTCCAGATCGGTGGCTACAGCTTCAAATCACTCCAGTCAGCTATAAAAACTATAGAAAATAGAAACATAGAAACTATAGAAACAATCAGCATTCTGAGACGCACACTTATGACTGCGCATGCGCACTGGATGGTCTTGCCTGAATAATACGCTTTTTTTTACCCTATTTGAGCACAAGAAACAACATTTATAAGAAAGTTGTTGTCAGATTTCATTGGTGATTTCAAATATAAAATTTTATCATAAACTTGGCGAACAGTTTTGGAGAATTTGATGTTTCCCCATTCGAGATGGGAGCTGCACTAGCATGACTGAGAGGCGTTTCAAATATGGCCGCCGAGTGAAATGACTTGCCTTAAAAAGACTTTGGTCAGATGTTCTATCTTGATTTCATTTAATTTCATAATATTTTTAATTTGTGTTTTAAAGAGTCATGTTTGATAGAAAGTGATCAATTGAAGTACAGTTTTATTTCAGTGAAATGTTTGGCAGTTGTGGTAAATTGCCATTACATTTAAATAAATTATTTCTTACATTTTAGGTGTGGTTTTACATTTTAGCTGTGGCATAACTATTTTTTCCTTCATCATTTTTATTTTTTTTTTCCAAACCTATTCAATTAAGTCAAGTCGCCTTTATTTATGTAGTGCTTTATACAATGCAGATTGTTTCAAAGCAGCTTTACAGTGATAAACAAGAAAATGGTGATTCAGTTATGCAAACCTGTTATAAAACTATTTACATAATACTTAAATAAATAAGTTATACTTGTAATACTTTATCCTCATTTCCTGTCTCATGTTTTGTATATACTGTATAATATTTTTTTCCACTCATTTTAGATTGTGTATGTAGCACGGAATGCAAAAGACAATGCAGTTTCTTATTTTCATTTCGATCGAATGAACATGGCACAGCCTGCACCAGGAGACTGGAACACCTTCTTACAGAAATTTATGGAAGGAAAAAGTAAGTAAAATAATTGTTAAAGTCTAAGAGTAAAAATAAATAAATAAATAAATTTTTCTGGGGTGCATTTCCCATAGGCTACAACTTGCTGCTTAACTAGCATAGTACAATGCATCGTTAAAGAAATCAACTAGCTGTTACATGTCTGTGGTTTTCTGTGTTGATTTTCCTTTGACCCAGTTTCCCTTGTTGTCTTGATTATGTCATTCTGTTCACTTGTGTTCCATTCATTTAGTCCCTCACTTGCATTTTTATTTATACTCCCTGTTCTGTTCAGTCCTTCACCGGTTATTGTTTGGTTTTCTTTGTGGATTATTTGTGGACTATTCCCCATTGTCGTGCGTTTACTACAGCCAGCACACACTAGCTTGTCATGATCCTTCTAACCACAGGTCGGGAGCTGTGATTCTAACCACACAACTTTGCGATGCTGTTTGCAAATGTCCGTTTGATCTATGGTTTCAGGAAACAATGTGTGCGTCTCAATCAGCTCCCTAGTTCAGTAGTCAGGGCACTGATCAGGGAATCGGCAATTTTAAGGGCTGTCTCAATCGCGAAATCCTTCCAGTGCACTGGAACGTTCGCTCCCTGAAAAATCCCACAATGCACCGCAAAAACTAGGGAGCATTGGTGCTCACTATGCTCCCTTACCGGAAATTACGTCACATTTCTGAAGCGCAAAACATAAACCACATGAACCAACTCGATAAATATAATGACACACAATAGAAGATTTGAAAAGACAAACCATTTTATTAGTATATTTCAGCATAAACACACATCGCTAGACAGGTAATGAAAACATCTAGTTAACATTTATCATTAATATTTGGCTGAAATATTATAAGACCATGTAACAGAACAATGAGTTTAAAGAGAATAAAAATAATATCAAAAAGAGATTGGTCCTGCCTGTTGTTGATTAATTCCTGCAATGACGTTCTACAGTGCTGTCTGTTGATGTTGTACGTAGTCATGTCACCGGAAATTGAGTCATCACTGTCCCAATGTGCAGTGAGCCAGGGAACTTACCAGTGACCGAATTCGTGTACACGATATACTGATTCACGAGCTTGGGAGCTGATTGAGATGCACCCAATGACTCGTTGAACTATGCTGATAACGATGGAACTTGTGACCATAGTTGGCTAACGATGCTTTTGGGAAACGCACCCCTGGCCAGTTACATTGTGAACCTTTTTAAAGAACCATTTTGATATCAGGAAATAAAAATCTATAATATTATCACTACAAGAACACTGAGAAAGTAAAAATATTAATTTTCTCTATTATGTGCAACCCCTATATAAATAAAAAAAGTTGCCACTGATGGATGTTTAAAAATCAGACTTTTTTTTCCTAGATGTGTTCGGCCCTTGGTATGACCATGTCAATGGATGGTGGGAGAAAAAACTGACTTATTCTAACCTAATATACTTGTTCTATGAAGATTTGGTGGAAGTAAGTTCAGTTCATAAAGTAACATTATTATTGAGAGTAAAATCAGTATGTATATGTGTCAAAAGTATACATTTTACCATGACCTTTTCAGGACAGGATATGAGGTGGAACGTTTGTGTTCCTTCTTGGGTTTGTCCACCTCAGTTGAAGAGAGGGAGAAAATAACAAAAGGGGTTCAGTTTGATGCCATGAAACAGAACAAGATGACCAACTATTCCACTATCCCAGTCATGGACTTCAAGATCTCACCCTTCATGCGGAAAGGTTAATAAACTACTAAATCATCTAATGTAGTTCTTCTAAATTCTGTCCTTACACTTGTTTTTATTATTTATCTATTTATTTTTTCTTTCCAAAAGGTAAAGTTGGAGACTGGAAAAGTCATTTCACTGTAGCACAAAATGAACAGTTTGATGAGGTCTACAAACAGAAGATGAAGAACACCACTGTCAAGTTCCGCACTGAGATTTAATACTTGAGTTCTGGATGTTGTACCAGAGTACTAGCTAAAAAAGGTTATATTTAATTTTTAAACTTAATTTTTAAACTTCAATCAAAATTGAGCATAGGGTTTTTTTTTTTCTTTTAGTATTAATAAGTTAGCCTCAAGGATATCTTTAAGCTAGTGTACTCCAAAACATTTGTCAAATTAATATTTAGAAGATATAAACATTCAAAGATTACAGTCTCAATACAGATAAACATGGATCAATGATTTTGCAGGCATCAATCAGCACTTCAGCTTCTCATCAGATTTTCTGACCAATCAAATGCTCTCTTGAATCTGAAGTCCCGCCCCTTACATTATAAAAGACACTAAAGCTGCGACTGATCACTTATTTACTCATGTATGTTAAATATGGTGAATGACACATTGCAACATTGTTACCATCGATGGGCAGTTGTGGCCTAATGGTTAGAGACTCGGACTTGTAACCCGAAGGTCGTGGGTTCAAGACTCAGTACCGGCAGGAGTTGTAGGTGGGGGGAGTGAATGCCCACCCTCTTCCACCGTCAATACACACGACTGAGGTGCTCTTGAGCATGGCACTGAACCCCCAATTGTTCCCTGGGCACTGCAGCAAAAAATGGCTTGCCCACAGCTCCGGGGGTGTGTGTGTGTGTTCACTACTCACTGCTGTGTGCACTTGGATGGGTTTAATGCAGAGCACAAATTCTGAGTATGGGTTACCATACTTGACAAATGTCATGACTTTCACTTTCACTTCAAATGGTTAGACATCCTCAGCATTACAAACAGCAGTAATGAGGAGAGTTGTGTGTTAGTCTTATAATGAACTGGCCATCCATCCAGTCTGTTTCCCTCCATCAGTAACACTTTATTTTAAGGATCAGAAATTAGAATTTAATGAATGACTAATAACTGCATTTATAAGTGACTAGTTATAGACTTGTATGCCATTAAAGCTATTTATAAGGCCTTTATTAGTTGTAAAAATAAAACAAACTAATAGCGTGTATTGTGCAAATTACACACTTTATAAGTTCTCAGTACACTATGTGAATGTGTAGCTTATAAGTATGAAATAAATATAGAATGGGTATTTTGACAGACATGTAAATTAGCTGAAACACACTGATTACATTTCTCACTAATAAATGCAATATTACTTCAGATTATGTTCCCTATTGTAAAGTAAACATTTGCTGTTTTCCAATAAGAAAAGAGACATGAAATATTGCAGGGAAGGATTCAGTCTTTATTGTTTTATAGTTCAACAAGAGAACAAACTACAGATGAGACACATCCGAATAATCACAGTCAACACACTGTATAAAAACATATGAATGAATAATAAGAAAAAAAATTCATAGAAACAGTAACAATCTTAATATTGTAACAATCTTAAATAGTAATTTAAAGTTAAAGGGCTCATTCAGGTCCTTTTTATCAACACTGATCAAAAAGTTACTAGCCAATAAACTAATTTAACAAGTAATATATATTTGTAGAATATAACAAATTGTAAACAAGAAAAAAGAACAAAAATAATTATAAACATCCAAGTATATTTTTTTATTTAATCTAAAACAATTATCTAAACATTAACTTTTACTGAAGAGTCTCTTTCTTTCTTTCTTGAACAAGATCATGCAGCAACACATAATAATTTCAACACTTCATCAAAATGGGCAATAGATGCCCTCGAGCCTTGAGATCTTCAATGGATCTTTTAATTTCAGGTTTAACACTACTGGCACATCTTTTTGCAAAAGCAAGCAATGTTTCCATAGCTGGATCAAACACCAGGGTGCTGTAGGTCTTGGGGTCTGCAATCTGAAGCTCTGCTATTGGTGCTGTTGCTGCTATGGTGCCTCTGTCAACATTGTGCTGAAGGAATGCCTCTGACATGGTGAAAACTTTCCTGAATGTTTTGAGGACTTGATGGTAGCGGCTGATGACCTCCTCTGGACCTTTAACTTTGCACAAATAAGAAAGAAAGATATATTGTCAAAACATAATTAAATGAAGTATATAAAGAAAAACGGTAAACAAAAATACAAAAAGTGCAGGCTTCTTGTATTTCTTGCATATTGTGATGGTAACTGATATTGCAGTTCTTTAGGACCAGTTTTATTTATTTGGAATTCATTTAAAAATGTGGATGCAAAAACACACCCTTATATGTAATATCATTTCTAAATGTTTTTTAATCATGTATTTCAAAGAGAATTTTTGTCAAAAGAATACTTCAAACATAGATTATAATAAATTATGTACTCACTCTTATGCTGTTTAACTTGTATATTTCATTTCTTCAGCATATCCAAACCATGATATTTTGATGGAGATGTGATGGTATTATTTCTATACAACACAAGTCAATGAGTACTAAAACTTTCAAACTCCAAAAATAATATAAAGGCAGTAGAAAAGCATTTTGTTCCATACGTCTTTAGTAATTTAATCCATATGTGGTATCTGGTGTAGGGTTTGTAAGAAAGTTTGTTATATTATGTCTTGCAGTCTCCTAGCTGGATCATTATTTGAAACTCACTTACAACTGTCTCATATTTAACCCATGCGTTGTGCCAAGAACACTGTAGAATTAATAGTGTTTGCAAAAACACTGGCAATGTCAAGAAGGAAAGTGTTTCTCAACCAACTCCAATCACATTTCTTCAGAAGAAATTACTTGAACCACTTACTCTAACCTTAATGCTGCTTTTATGTGGTTTATTCATGTGTATTTTGAGGAAGGATATACATCTCGATCAAAATGTTTGGTCTTTGTTCCACAGAAGTAATAATGTCATACAAGTTTAAGATGGCAAAAGGGTAAGTGATGAGAAAAACAAATGAAATAGAAAGAAATATTTCACATTCACATTAAAATGATAAACATATTTCCATAAATAGAGAACACACACTTACAATGGTATAAAAAATAATAATAATAAACCTAATAATTGAAAAAGAAGCCATGAAAAAAAAATTTAAAAATGTAAAAATATATATAAAATCATCAGTTAAGCCCAATTAGATATGAATATTAAAAGATGAGATCAGATGTTTTATCAAGCTGTTATTATTTTTTGGACTTAGATACATGTGTAAGGGAGAAGTGCTCTTAACGTACTGATTAATAATGCTAAATTTGGATGAAAAAAAGTCCTGTCACAAACCTGGTTTGAACGGTCAGTCATATAGGTAAAAATATTTATACTTGCAGCATTGTTGTATCGATTTTGCTGCTCAAGGTGTTTTTGCTTCTGTTTTTTACTTCATTTTATTTTCTCTTCCAGAAATTCTATATTCATTTTCATAGAAAAAATGCCTAGAAACAACATATCCCAAAGGAATATTAGTAAGCTAACAATTAATACTGGACACAAATACAAGTAGTTAATTGCTATTTGTCACATAGACAAAATGACAACATACTAATACAGTATAAGAACCCTGGCTGCTGCAGCTTGGTAAAGAAGGTTCATTTTCCTCCAGATCATTAGGTATTGCATCTTTGGAGCTCTCCAGAATGGATTCCTGCGGCTTGTGTTGTAGCTTCAACTTGCACTTTGGCTGTATAAAAGGTCACAGGAATTAATTTTTTATAAAAGTATCAATTACTATATTCATTTAAACAATTATCAAACAATTATATTCATTTAGTAACATATACATATATCTTTGTGTAGGATATATCTTTCGATTTTTATGATTCATTGTCTCTTTTCGACCCATTGGTTCACATTTACATGTTTTCTACGTCGATTTTGGCTTTGGGCTTATTGAAAAATGCTAATTCATTCTCTGCCAGCAGGTGGCACTTTCTGAACAGCAGAAATATAACTTAGCGGTTTCCCCAGTTACAAAGCAGCTTGACCTGATTATTCATATAATGAGGTTTGGGCCATACAAAATACGGGAGCTTTACCGGTGGCGAATGTAGCAAACATATCAAATACTCCGAGAAAGATAAAAAATACGGGAGAAATACAGGAAAATATTTAAATGGGATTTTCACAGTTTCCCCTATTACAGTGGTTCTCAAACCTGTTCTGGAGTGCCCCCAGCCCCGCACATTTTGTATGTCTCCCTCAATTATCACACCTGATTCAACTCATCAGCTCATTAGTGGAGACTTCAAGACCTGAAGTGGGTGTGTCAGATATAGGGAGACATACAAAATGTCTATTACATATAACATATGACAAAATATTTTTGATTTTGTGAATACTTATTTTAATTCTTTTATCCTCTGCTAGGGTGTGTCAAGATAAATGTCACAATAAATCATACAGCAAGAGCATCCGAAGTGGCTCAATATATTCAATATATACTCAATATATATATATTCCAAGTCTCATCTCAGCCTCCAGACATGGATGCATTTTATTTACAGGTAAGAATATATCATCCTGTGTTTGTTACATAATGAGGGTTGTTTTAATAATGTTATAATAACTATTTGTGATCATGTAAGAATTATTGTATTCGTGTTGAGATGAAACTATTTTGTAGTATATTATTCAAGCAGATAATATCAGAGCTTATACTTGTTGTTAGTAATGTTAAAGAGCAGGTCATATGGGTTTTCGAAAAATATCTTTTTTGCAGTTTGAAACGTAGCTATCCTTCAATGTAAACAGTCTGCAAAGTTGTTCATCAAAAAAGGGCATGATAAATAAAGATATTGTCTCTCAAAAGAAAGAGTCGACTCTGAACTGCCTTAACAAGTCGTCATATTTTCGAATGTTATGCCTGTTACCTATATACGTCACAAGGTAACACATTTGCATAATCCTGCCCACAAACACTTCAGCTAGTTAGTGTGTTTACGTCATGTCGAGAAGACGCTGTGTTTTCAGCCTCACTGGGCATTCTAACACAGTTCCCACACGTGTACCTCAAATAAGTAAATAATAATAATAATGAATGCAATAAAACTGCTGTCACATCACGCAAAGTACCACATGCAAACTTTGAACTTACCACTGAGAAACGTCCTGATCAAGTCGTGCTTGCGATAGAGTTTCCGGTTGAGAATCGGTATCATCCTCGGACTCGGGCTCAAATTGATAAGGTAATATCGATGCCATTTTTGTAACCTTATAGCATCTTTGTTTACAAGTAACCCTCCGGAGCAAAATATTTATTATAGTAATGGGTGTTTCGTTTCCGACACGCATTGTATACGGAAAGACCAATCACAACTGACTTGGCCAGCTGACCAATCAGAGCAGAGTAAGCTGATGGAAGGGTGGAGTTTACAGATCTTAAGCTCAGAACTGCTTCGAACGAATCGTTTCAAAATCATTGAAAAATGATTCTAATATTAAGTATATGTTCTGAGAAAATTACAATGTTTTCTGACCTTAGATGCATTTATTCCTGTTGTATGGGACTCCAACACAATATTAGGATAGGACACTTTAAAATACCATATGACCTGCTCATTAATAACATAAAATTGATTGTGAACTGAGTATTAAGATATGTTTTATGTATTTTTCTGTGTATCCTATGTGTTTGCTTTTAAACTGTAGATTTTCACAAGGACTCAGATTGTGGCAAGTGGACATGCTAAAGGAAGGCATCACTGGAAGCTCTTCACACTGAATAAACTTGCTTATCATCTGCATGGAGTCTGCAAATCTGCAATTAAAGAATGAAGAGAAGAGGTGACCTGAAAATTGGAAAAAGACACAAAATTGTTTTCATTGATGAGAGCAAATTTGGCCACAAAAGAAAGGTAATATATTTTCGTTTACATCTGGTCACAATTAATAGTAAAAATGAATGACAATAAATTCTTAAATTCTGTCATTTTTAGTACAACCGAGGAAGACAGAGCAACAGGACGTCATGGGTGTTTGGAATGCTTGCGGTCAAGCAGGAGTGCAGAAGACCCATTCTGAGAGTTGTCAATCAGCGTTTAGCTCAACACCACATGCCAGTTCTCCAGAAGCATGTTAGACAAGGAAGCACTGTTGTGTCAGATGGGTGGAGAGCCTATAACTGTCTCAGAGATGCTGGATATAACCTAACTGTGAACCATAAAGAGGTTTTTGTTGATCCTCGGACAGGTGCTCACACAAAATATTGAGAGATTCTGGGAAGTCTGCAAGGCAACAGTGTGGAGATTTAGGGGGAACCGCACAGAAAGCAGGATCAAAGACCACTTAAAAGTAATCGAGTGGACTTACTGACGTGCTGACAAACATAAAAATGGCCCCCTGGGTATGATTTTGCATGACATTAGAAGGAAGTATCCTGTGTGAAAAATGCTTATGTTCGGCTTGTTCTGTGACCATCATCATTTGTGCGAAAAACAAATTTGTCAATAAACTGTTTGGCAGTTGACTGTGTTTATTCAGGATGTGTCTCATCTGTAGTTTGTTCTCTTGTTGAACCATAAAACAAAGACTGAATTCTTCACTGCAATATTTCATGTCTCTTTTCTTATTTGAAAACAGCAAATGTTTACATTAGAATAGGGAACATAATCTGAAATAATATTGCATCTATTAGTGAGAAATGTGCTTGTTACCTTTCAATAAATTCAGGGAAAATTTCAGTTATGAATCAAGTCACCTTTATTTATATAGCGCCTTTAACAATACAGATTGTGTCAAAGCAAATGTACAGCATTAATTAGGAAAATAGTGTGTCATTAATGCAAAATGACAAAAGCAAACACTCATTTTTCAGTTAAAGGCAGTTCATCATTGAATTAAGTGTCCCCAACTAAGCAAGCCAGAGGCGACAGCGGCAAGGAACCAAAGCTCCAGCGGTGACAGAATGGAGAAAAAACCTTGGGAGAAACCAGGCTCAGTCGGGGGCCAGTTCTCCTCTGGCCAGACGAAACCAGCAGTTCAATTCCAGGCTGCAGCAATGTCACATTGTGGAGAGGACTCAACTGGTTCCTGTGGTCTTGGCCGTCTAGGAGACAAGGTCTTAACTGGGGATCTGTCTCTGGGGCTCATCTAGATGTCCTGATCACCGCTGACATTCAGGGCTGAAGAGGTCATCTTTAAAATACTTATTGTATTTCAAGTATCTGGGCTGGATACGTACTGGATACACTGTAAAAAATTTATTGTCAAATTAACAGTAACTTACTGGCAACAATTATCCAGTAGTTGCTGTATTTCATTCAACAGTAAAATTACTGTAACACTAACTACAGTACTGTTTAGCTTACTGTAAAATGTAATACAACATTTTACTGTATTTTTTACCATGTCAAAGTACAGTATTACACTGTTGATTTTTAATAATACTGTATAGTATTATACAGTTATGAAATGTTATTTTAATTTATTTTATAGTGCTACTGTATAACCTTTATAATTTGTAGAAAACCTGTAAAATTGCTAACTAACTGTTGATGGGAAATAGAAAAAAAGAACAATTGAAGCTTTAACTGCACAAAAACAGTTTATTTTAAATTTTGAAACAATACATTAGTAAACAATAATGATATATAACAATAAAAATCTGTTTTAAAACAAGACTAACTAACAATTTATAATGAATCATTAAATCACAGAACAATACATTAGGAATAATAATAGCATATAATACAACAATCAAATATGTTTTAAAAAACAAGACTAAAGAACAATTTATAATTAAGAATTAAAATAGCAGTGACATAACGCAACAATAAAAATCTGTTTTAAACACGACTAATTAACAATTTATAATTACAAATTAAAATCAGTGAACAATTCATGCAAAAATTAATAGGTAAAATACAAACTTACATAACACAGTAGAACAAAGAAAGAAGTTGAACAAAGAAAGAAGGTGAGGATGAAGGCCAGGTGAGGAGGGCTGGTGTCATGTGGAAAAAGTTGCACTTCTGATAATCCTGCTAGAAATGATAAGCACAAATCAATCATTGAGAACAAACATACAACTAATCATCAAAAAACTCACATTATCAACACCTTTAAATGATGGGCAAAAGCTTGTGCATAGGGCCCAGCAGCGACTGAAATTTTACTCTTTTTTTTTTCATTAATATTTTCAACTCAAAAGTAAACATACATACAATGTACATTTTGGTGGGTAATAGCCAATGGTATATTACTGCTTACATGTTGTGTGGCATAAATGGATATTCAGAGTTTTTTGTTTTTTTTACAATGTACACCAACTGCAGGAAAACCCAATAGAGCAAAATCCATGTACTGCAGAAAAAAAAAACTATTTAATCTTCATAGAATAAAACCCACACATATATTTTATAATATACAGTGCCGCTTGAAAGTATGGGAACCCCTTGCAGAATCTGTGAAAATGTTAAACATTTTAACAAAATAAGAGAGATCATTCAAAATGTCATTTTTTTTTTATTTAATACTGTCCATATATATATATATATATATATATATATATACACAGTGACATGCGAAAGTTTGGGATCCCCTTGCAGAATCTGTGAAAATGTTAAACATTTTAACAAAATAAGAGAGATCATTCAAAATGCATGTCATTTTTTATTTAGTACTGTCCTGTGTAAGATATTTTATGTAAAAGATGTTTACATTAAGTCCACAAGACAAAAAAATAGCTGAATTTATTAAAATGAGTTTTGATTCTTAATACTGTGTGTGGTTACCTGTATGATCTACGACTGTTTTTTTGTTTGTTTTGTGATGGTTGTTCATGAGTCCCTTGTTTGTCCTGAACAGTTAAACTGAGCACTGTTCTTCAGAAAAATCCTCTGTGTCCTGCAGATTCTTCAGTTTTCCAGCATCTTTGCATATTTGAACCCTTTCCAGCAGTGACTGTATGATTTTGAGATCCATCTTTTCACACTGAGGACAACTGAATTCGAAGATCAAGGTAAATTGTACTTAATCTGTCTTCCGGGAAACATGTAAGTATCTTCTTCTGCTTCTGAAGGGCAGTACTAAATAAAAAGAATTGATATTTAAACAAAATAAGAACTATTTGGACTTCTTCATCCTGTTCAAAAGTTTTGAATGCATCGTGTTTCCTTCTGGAGCATCAGTGAATGTTTGAACCTTTTTTTTCAGAACAAACAAGGGACTCATGAACAACCATCACAAAACAAAAAACATTCGTAGATCATCCAGGTAACCACACACAGTATTAAGAATCATTTGATCACTTTTTTTGAAAATTTTTTTTAACTTTTGGTCATTTTTTATAAATTCATCTATTTTTTGTCTTGTGGACTTAATGTAAACATCCTTTATGTAAAATATCTTACTCAGGACAGTACTAAATAAAAAATGCTGATTAAGAAGCACTTGCCTTCTC